TATGGTATGTGTACATGCGCATGCAATCATTATATTATATTGTAATAAATATAATATTATTATTATTTCTGAATTAATTATCATATTCTAATTCTTCTTCAAATTAAATAGCATTTTATATTTTATAATTTAAATTTTATAATCTAAAAGATCACGTTTTTCAGAAGTACGAAGAAGTTACAGTTCTTTCCCGACGTCAGTCAAGTAAAGATTGCGTGACAATCATAAACAAGCAAATGGATTCTCGTTATGGTAATTTATATTAGTATACCATTTCATACTCGTATGTTATTAAATAAAAATAAATTATCAATTTATTAGGTACAGAAAAACTATTCACAAAGCGACATGATGGACTTGGAAAAAAAACCCATCGATTTTCTCATGATATAAAAAGTTTTACTCATGATTGTTATGAAAATTCATTGATTACAAATAGTACGTGACGTAGGATCAATAAATCCAATACTAAAATTAAATCGAAAATAAAATAATCTATTTTGAAAGATTATCACACGATAAATACTTAATATGCAATACTTTGATATAAATTTAATTATTTTTTACTATTTTTATCATTTTTAAAAACAATTGTTATAATTAATCGTAATATATAATATATTTTTATGAAGATTATTATACTTTTAATCTTGTATTCTGATGACAATTCTTCCCAGATGATAACTTTCCCATAAATAATATGTTTAATTACAACATTAAAATGCAAGAGCTTATTGGAAATGTTTATTTAAAAAAAATATAATCAATTATAATAATTATTACAGCAGAAAATATAATTTTTTTTGAAGAATTCTAAAATTAATTGAATCGTTATTCAGATCGGGTTAAACCAGTCCTACTGCGAGTTGTAAACTGGTTTTTTGGTGGTTGTCCAGCATCAAGACAACGTCGAGAACAGATTGACGAAGTCGGAAAGGAAGAAATTTTCGAATCTACCAACACGTGGCTCCTCTAAACGAACAAAGTACCTGCAGCAGTAAAGTGCAAAGCTGTCGATAAACGCAGAGATCTATGTCTTCATCTTAATGTAATATAAAATTACATAATTGTAAAATTATAGTAAATTGTTACTTGACAATTTTTAGTATTAATTTTTTTACATAGCAACAACATTTATTTTTACTGACATATCTTTTTCAAGAGTAAATTTATATGTTTCTTCTTTTCTTCATTTCCAATTTTCTATTAATACACCTAATAAAACATAAACATCTAAAATTATATATTGCACTATTCATTCCATGCACACATACTATATATTTAATAATGTTATTATTAAATAGAAAATCTTGCGTTCAAAAAGTGTAATTTTTAATATTTTACAAATGTGGATAAATCTTTGCATTTAGATTTTTCTTCGTTACAAATTCTCACGAAAAGACAACTAATATATTCTTATAAAAACATTGTATAAAGTAAATGTACTAAACAGTCAGTGGACTTGATTCAACTACTGGACAAAATGACAAAAATTTTAAATATTACTCTCTACATCTGAATCAATAGATAATCACTGAGATTATCCAGTGGCACTGATTCAAATGTAAATAGTAAGCTTTTAATAATACGTGCGACTCTAAATAAATTTGTTGTTTATAAATTTATTGTCGTACGTATCATTAAAAGCTTAATATATAGATATATATATTATATTTAAAATTTTTTGTCATTTCATCCACTAATTGGGTCCATTAATTTTATATAGCATTTAATAAAAATGATTCAATATAATTACTTGTAAAATTGTCACTAATCGCGATTCAATCGATTTGGCAAAATTTCCGCGTTTCTAGGAAACATTGGTTACATCGCGATTATCCATCGCGTCGCGGCGCGTACGTTCATTCCAATTATATCCCGACGCGAAGACGGCACGTTCGTGAGCTTCGGAGGGACATCGGCCGTTTCAAATCTCGACCTTCGTCTGCGCACACATCTGTACCGGAAGCGGGTACCGCATGTATATGGCTTAAGAGCAATAAGGGAACCAGCGGGCCTCGCGAGCCGCAAGAAGAGAATGGGGCGAGACAGTCGCGCTAAGACCAAGATCCGCGGCGGTTCACAAAGCCGCGAATTCGAATGAAACTATTGCCATTCACGTGACAGACGCGCAATCAGCCGATCTGTCTTCTTCCGTTTTTTTATCATTCAATCGTACCAATAAGTTTGCTGTGCCTTATCGCTAGTGTCTCGTGCGTTTGATCTATTAATCTTAGGCTACCAAATTCATTGTCAATAGATAATTTCGTGAAACATTCTGTATTTCAAGTTAGAACTATGCATTCTTATCATTATCCGACAAAGTTTAATTGCAATATGAATTGATATAAAACGTGTAAAACGGAAAACAATAGTGAAGTTGTAGCAGAGTATTTTAGTTGACTCGGTAAGTGAAAATACTTTAAATAGTTAAAATATACATTAAATATAAGTAAATTGTTTTATTCTGTTGGTTTATTTAATTAAACATATGTTGTACAAATGGTGTCAATATATCTACTTGTCAATTGTTAACGTAAGATGTAGCATTTTCATCAATGAAAAAAATCATCAAATATCGAGAGAGAGAGAGAGAGAAATCATATCAATAATCGTATATATTTTTACATGATGCCAAAATCGTTAAGAATGTATAGTCTTTCCAAACATAAAAAATAATACAATTTTATAAATTAATACATCTTATACCTTTATTATACATCTTATATCTTTATTAATAAATATAGTCGTAAGTGTCTAGTAGCTTTTTTAGTTATTAAGTAATGCTATAAAATATATGACATGAATGGAAAAAGAGGTAAAAAAATATTTCACATTTATGTAAAGGAAAGAAGAAAGTACCTCTCGGTGAAAAAATATTTACTTGTGTCAAATATTGTCTACTTACATTAGCTATATTCATTTGCATATTTTTACATCATTAGCGACACCTATTTATATCTACGCACCTATTTATGATCGCGGCTATTTTATTATGCGGTGAAATGTTCCAAGACTCATTAATGTGCATTCATTTAGAAAAGTGTGTCGTTAAGTACATCAGCGCATACTTTAACATTTTAGAGATTAAGAGAGAGAAGAGCATTTACATTAGTTTTCACATTATACAACAATTCCAAGAAATTTACTAACTATTTATCGAAGATAAATTGAAAATATGTATTATAATTAAGTAATCACTATAGAATGTAATACTCTTTATTACATTAGAAGCGATATCGAATTTACGCCATCGCACACGAGATTATATAGAAATTTCGTAACAAACCGCATTATTGTTCTCATCGCGCCCGGTATTCGTAACCCCGGTACATTGTTAGACATTGGAAGAAATTCCCGAGATTCCATGGAACATGTGTGTGCAAACCGTTCTATTAATGTACCCATCACATCTTGCCTTCGTCTTATCCGCTTCTCGCTTTATCTCTCTTTCTCTCATTTCTTGACAGGCGCTCTTGCCGCTTCTCTTCTTCTTTCAACGTGTAGTGCGATTTATTCAAACACGCGTCCAAAGAGAAACAAGCGGCGGATGCCACGAAATGCCGTAAAAATTTTCATTTTTATTACGTTCTAGAAGAAGTGGAACATCCGGTATATAAATCGTAATTTAATTATCCAAAAAACAACGAAATACTTGGCGAAATAATTTGGCGACAAAATATAATAAATGCAAAATATGCTCTAATAAATATAAGTATATTTGGATATTCCTTCCTTTCAAACGTAATTTTTGTAATGCAATCACGTAAATTTTTTAATTTACGAATAGTAATAGCAATATTAGGAGAGAAGGAGAGAATAATAAATATTCATCACTAGTAATCATTAATTTATTCATACTATCGTTAATAATAAAAACAATACTAAAGATTTTATACTTTATATAAATTGTCTTTTTATAGAAGTATAATATTTTTCATTTTGTAATAGTAAAATGTAGTTAAAAGTTATTTTTATGTTTTGAGATCATATATCCTCTCCTTTATTCTCCCAAGAGTATAATTGACATCTTTAGAAACTTTTTTTTTCAGATATTTATTAGATGTTTCTGTATGATTCAATACCGTTCTAATTTATTTGCTTGCAGTGACAAATGCTTGTAGTATGACGTCAAATGCGATTAGAGGTATCAGAAGAAAGAAAAGTTCGCTTTGCGAAGTTAAAGTAGCAGTGATAGGCGCTCCAGGAGTCGGTAAAAGCGGTAAGTGAATGTATTATATACTTCAATAAAAGAAAACTTTATATAATAAACACATAATAAAAATAAATTTTCTATTAACACAAATATTAATATTAACGTAATAGAATTGTAAAATAAAAATGCTATATATAAATATAATTTTATTATATTATAATTATAAAATTAATCCTAGAAAGATATACATTTCCGTAAAATATTACTATTATATATCAAGAAATAAAAAAGCCGACTCCTGTTTCTTATAAATAATAAAATTAATAATAAGAACCACAAATTTCACAAAAAAGAATTTCACAAAAAGAATATTGAATTTCCCTCTCTCTCTCTCCATATAAAAAATTATGTTGCAGTTTTTTACGATTTCACTATAAGAAAATTTTCAAACATTTTCTAACTCTGACCATATTAAGCTCTGACATATTAATAGAAGGTAGAGACAAGTTGATTACATCAATCAAAATATATTTTAATGACTCTTAAAAATACTTTTACACGGCAATGTTTTTTCTAATTTCCATTAATGTAAATATAATAGCAAAAAATGAGACATACACAGCGTTTGAATCTATTATAAATCAAAAGATTTTGGCGTGCAATTAAAAATAAAATTTATTTTACACTATTCGTACTATATGCGAAATCGTGCTGTTCTATGAACGAAAGATTGCAAAGAGAGGAATGAGAGAATAAAAGTAGATG